CCAAGCCTACAAACATTTTAGCGAAGGAGAATTGGGAGGCTCCTTGAGGTCGGCCTCCCTCACATTTTCAGTAAACTCAACGAAATATTTCTCAACAACAGTAAAGGCTCTATCACCACCCGGATACTAGATCCCCACCACAGAAGAACCCAGAGAGATGGGAACATAGATCGCAACCAACAACCCTATTCCCCGAAAATCGGGCCCAACATCGAGGATCCTAGAATGCACCAGATTCATTCAATCCAAGAAATCCTAGAAGCCAACCACTAGTAAACTCCCAGTCGACACCACTAGCACCTTGCGAAAATCCCTAACATAGCCCTTACCACCAAGTCACCACAAAGGCTGCATACCCACACAACCACACAACCACAATGACGACGACCACTGTCAAGATCAGGAAGGCGATGTCTGCTGAATGTGGAAGGAAACCCTAATATTGACGCATGACTCTCCTCGCGTAGCGAGAGAGCGATTGTGAAGAAATTCGATATATCAGTATTGGCGATTTTCACACTTGCGTTTTCTACATGTATATAGTTAGATAATAAAATCATTTTTTTAAAAAGAAAGGGAGCATAGTGCGATTGTAGGAGTATGAAACATGTGACGGTCATACCGTCACGTGTTGTGGCTTATTCAAATGCTATAATATAAGTGGATAACATAATTGATAGTTCACAAATTTAAGTTATAGTTTTAATAAATAAACACACATGTTATTGATAACATCACATAAATGGTCGTACATAAGAATTTGTTGAAAATCTTTGAAGGTCAACTAAGTTAAAGTATTATTCCCCTCCTCTTCTTCCTCAACACAAATTTCTATGAAGCAATAGTGTGAGGCCATGTCCCCTTTTAGCATTAGGCCATGCAAGGGGAGGAGCCAACATGGGACCAGTGTGGTTCCAGGACCCCACTCAATTATCGTTTGTGAAAAAAAATAAAAATTGAATTACTATTAGGTAGGTTTTTTAATTAAAATAACATGTCAAACTATATGATAAGAGAATATTTATACGTGTGTACACGTACGTATGTATTTCCGTTGGATTGGTAGTGATGGAAGTTGATAAGTATCTAGCATCTAGTTCAGCCTTAGCTATGGAAACTATTTAACATATAAATCACCAAAACCTAAATAGTAGTGGGGAAACCACTCCCTTATCTATTTCTAGTTTAATACACCATTTGGAGCAAAATTCAATCTTAACCCATCTTAGCACCACGCAAAAATCATTATCTTCTACACCCTTGTATTTTGAATTAAAATGAAAACTCAACTTATCATCAATAGTTTAGATTCCCGCATGCGACGAGTGTGGTTTCAGGTCCCCACTCCATTTTTACCTCTTCTATTTGTATATTATATATGATATATAATATTATAATATATTAGATTAGTTCTAGGATATTTACCCTAAAATAAGATAAAATATTATGTTCTTTTTGTCTATAAATTAATTATAAAATATCTTGATCTCCCTTCTACTCGTCTCCCTTAAATCTTCTAGGTTAGTTCATGATATTTGCACTAAAAACTCATAAAGTTTTAACATTTCTTTCTCTTCCTCTTTTGTTTAAAACTTCATGAATTTTTAATTTTCTTCATTTTTTATGTATGAGTTGTGCACCTTAATATTGGGCTTTATGAACTCTTTTTAAATATGAAATTCAAGATAATTATGAAGAGAATACAAGTTTTATAAAGGGTCCCTCTAATGTGAAATCCTAGTTCCATCACTGGGCCATGCCCATGTCCCCTTGAAAGGGAAGAAGGATACCTAGCGAGGCAATTGGCTATGCAATTATACATTTTATTAGGGCTTTCAATTTCTTCAAATCTCCAATTGTGAAAACCCACCAAATAGTGTAATGTTATAACAATCAACCACTGATGAATTTATAACATTTATATATCATTCTCAACATCTATGTAAGCCGAATCTGATTCCTTCAATTAGGTTGAGACAAATGGAAGCATCCATTAACTAAGTAAGTTAAATAAAATGAAAACTGTCTAATGTTGTCATCTAATATGTAATCAAGTACTAATACGAATGAATGTCCAAAGCATTAAGAGCAATAATTAATCCTATACAAGATTAAGGAGAGAATGAGTACAAAATATCACAAGTGGCTCCATTATCATGCAAGTGAAGTTACAACTGAGCAATCCCAAAAAGCAATAACCAGATGGAAAGCTATTTTAGTGCTCTTTACAAATGGATCGACAACTTGGGGGCCATTTAGATCCTCCAAAAGTTTGGATATATCTCATCTTTAATTTAATAAAATAATTAAAATAATTAAAAGTTAAACAGGAAAAAAGGGTTTCAAGTGAATCACCTTCCTTGAAGGGACGTTAAAGTGGGGGAGTGCAAATTTAGAGAGAGAGAGAGAGAGAGAGAGAGAGAGAGGTGGGTCCTACTCACAGCACAAATCCTTCTGCGTTGATTTTGGACCTATTGACTTTAAATTTGTGGAGACTTATCCAAAGAAAAATATTTTGTAGGGATGTCTAGGACCGATGAATCCGTAAACCAATGAGAAGATGTCCTTTTCAGCTCGTTTTAAATTTTCTTTAGCTCGCCAGATTTCAGAGGAAAATATATTCAGATTTTTGCCTAGTCTTCTAATTGACCAAGAAAAATAAATAAATAAAGAGACAACTTTTCTTCGCCTGTGTTTTTTTTCCTCAAGATTGACCGACTGATCATACCTTTGGTTGAAGTAGAACCAAAGCAAAAATTGATTAACTTTGACAACATTTTTTTTACTTGGTGCTAGGTTTTTTGGTTAAATTTTAACTATGGTTTCTGCTTAAGTTTCGATGTTTTTGCCTCTAGTAATTGTACTTAATGAAGATTTGAAAAATGTGTGGTTCTAATTATGTTGTATCTTAGATCTAACAAATTACGAATTAGTATTTACAAAATGCGGGTTCTACACATAAGCAAGGGCGGCCCTGGGGTGGTGCAAGTGGCGCCACCGTTCAGGGCCCCCGAAAAAAAAAATATTTATATTTTATGTATATTAATATTATAGGAATTGTATATATATTATATTGTGCTATACATTTACACAAGAGTGCATCTGGTGGAGTTGGCTCTAATGCGTATTCACTTAACAAAACTGCTTGAGTTTGATTATCATCGAAGTCTATCTCTTTTTTTCTTTTTTTTATATACTATTTTTGCATTATAACAACAAATTTTTCATAATTATAAATAAATAAAAACAAAAAGCCTTTTAAAAAAGGAAACATCAAAGCTTAGCTAACCACAGAAGCAGTATATGCATCCCCTAAACACTTTCTACTCCTCCCCTTTTTTTTCTTTAAAATAAAAAAAAGCTTTCTCCACCAAGAAAAGTACTCTCTTCATTCAAAACAAAACAAAAAAAACTTCATAGTTTCTTCTAATTATCTAGTAAGTAATCATATCATCATTCATCAATCTTTCTTTGGTTCTTTTTTCAATCCTTTGACAATTTTTGTTATTTTTTCAATTTTAGGAATTTCAACACCAACAAAAGAACCCTAATTCCTAAATTCATAAAGATCACTCAAAATCAAATAGTCAATTTCAAATCTCAATTCAAATTCAAGTATGTATCTAAATTTCAATCTATTCTATATATTACATGACTTATTTTATTAAATTATTATCATGTTGATGATTAGTTATATGGGAATATAGTTTTTAGAAATATTTATCTATTTCTTGCTGGGGTTTTCTTCTAGGTTATAGGGTTTCAGAATTTTTATTTGTTAATGACATTTGTGTGTAACTACTCATTAATTTGTGATTGCCATTTTTTTTTTTCTATTAAACACAGATTGCTTATTGGAGGCAGCAAAAGACTTTATAGGGGCACAATGAGCTTATTATTTTTGTACCAAACATACTAATATTTAACTTTATCAAAGGGAAACATTTTAATTTTTATGAATTTGATTTCGGATTGTCATTACATGTTTATTGATGGTGACTTTTAGTTATAAAAAAATTGTTTATGACATTAAGTTATGGCAAATTTTTATTTATAGTATTTTCGTATTAAATTATATGAGGCCCAAATTTACGTTTTGCACAGGGCCCTCAAAATCTTAAGGACGGCCAACATAAGACTTTACTCCAGCCAACTGGAGAGCTAGTACTAAACTTGGGACCTTACAAACCATTTGAACTTATTTTCTATTATCAAATTGTCAGTCAAATTCACACATCCAAAAACGAGTTTACGTGATAGTATTTTTTTTTTCAAATGAGAAAAGAAAACTATATAACAAACCTACATAGACAACCGATGATGATAAAAAGGTGAAACCAGAGGACGTGAATGAGAAATATGGCCTAACAAGATAGACAATCAGTCTTGAAAGTAACATCTCGCTAAACATGGCGAATAATAAAAATGTGAATGTAGGAAAATAATTGGTTGTACATAAATTTACAACCAATTGGCATACAAAATCCAGGTGAGAGTGAAAAAGTAGGCTCGATTGGTGATGATGTGGCATTTTGTTATAATTTATGACGCAAATAATAAGTTAATATCATGGGGTTTTTTGATTTAAACAAAGACCTTCCATTTTAATACTAGTTACCAAAATAAGCGAAAAAGATGAACGGCCGAGAAATGTCGACAAATACGGACAAAGAAATGTGCCCACGCAAACCGACAAACAACATATTGCTGCTGTAAGAAGATGACGTCAGGCCCTCCTCATTTCCAAAAAAAGAGAACTCAATTAGTCACGTGATTAATTGAAATGCGGGACCCACGATGCACAATTTGCACACTAGGGAAATTTCAAAGAAGCTGTCGTCGACCTCGAGAAAATTAGAATATCATCCACACACGAAAATATTTAGTACTTAAAATAAATTTAGAAATATAAAAAATAATATTTTATTTTTTCGGAAAATATCACAGCCTTCTGAAGTGCATGAACCTACTCACCTATTTAAACCTCACCCTCTTCAAACCCGAAAAAGAATTCGAACAACTCGTCAAATCTCACAAAACAACAGCACTCTCTTTCTTCTTCTTCTTCTTCTCTCTCTGCTTTAAGAAACATTTCGGTTTGTACCAGACCCGAAATTTTGCCAAATTTTGGAGTTTCGTAGTTGCAAAATGTACGGACAGAGTGGAACTGATGCGGATATCACACTCCTCGACTCGATTCGGCGCCACTTGTTGGGCGAGACGGATCTACGGATGGGAAATTCGATGGCCAACTCGGTTACGGGTCCGATTTTCTCCCGGAGCTCCAGCTTCAGCAGCCTGTACCCGTGCTTGACCGAAAACTGGGGCGATTTGCCGCTCAAGGAGGACGATTCCGAGGACATGGTGCTCTACGGTGTTCTAAGGGACGCCGTCAACGTCGGGTGGGTCCCGTCGCTCGGGTCCGGGTCGGCTGATACATGTTCTTTAAACTTTTCGGTAAAATCGGAACCGGAGGTTTGCGGGGGGGGGGAGGTGGAGGAAAAACAGCCGCCCCCGCTCCACCCGGCCGGCCGGGTCCCGCCCCCTCCCAAAGCCGGTCCCGCTGTGGTTCCCGCCAAAGGGAAGCATTACAGGGGCGTACGGCAACGGCCGTGGGGCAAGTTCGCCGCCGAAATTCGGGACCCGGCAAAGAATGGCGCGAGGGTTTGGCTGGGAACTTTTGAAACGGCTGAGGACGCGGCTTTGGCTTACGACAGAGCCGCTTATAGAATGCGCGGCTCCAGAGCTTTGTTGAATTTCCCGCTCCGGGTTAACTCGGGCGAGCCTGATC